CTTAGCCTTAAAGTGAAATATAACCCAAATCTCTTTCTGAAACATGCTTCGACTCAAATCTCACCAGTTATTGCACTCAACAAATAAATCACTCAAAATATGGTGTAAAAATTACTTTCAATATATGCGCATAGAATAATGTAAATCAAAGGCAAAATATCCCGCATACTAATTTTTTGAAAAACGCTAATATGAAAGAGTAAATAAATAGTCTCATGAATGGAATATCAAATACTGAGAAATAAAATTTCTAGAAATGTTACCCACAAACGTCAAAAATTTTCTTTACTCGAAGGATTTCTTTCGTTCTCATGCTAAAGTTCAAGAACAAGTCATGAATTTCACAACCTTAACAAGACAACCAATCAAAGTTCAAGACACTAGCAGCAAGTAAAGATATCTCATGACATTCAGAATTTGGCGTGTGTGAAAAAGTTTAGCCAACACATACACAACCTTAGCCTTCAAGTGAAATATAACCCAAATCTCTTTCTGAAACATGCTTCGACTCAAATCTCACCAGTTATTGCACTCAACAAATAAATCACTCAAAATATGGTGTAAAAATTACTTTCAATATATGCGCATAGAATAATGTAAATCAAAGGCAAAATATCTCACATACTATTTTTTTTGAAAAACGCTAATTTAAAAGAATAAATAAATAGTTCTATGAATGGAATATCAAATACTGAGAATTAAAATTATCACACTATCACCCCTATCCATCATGTCCACCTCTAAACCATAGCACTCCCAAGATCAAGTAGGACTTTTTATTTGGTTGTAATGTATAGGTTGAGGAATTGTGAAAAAATGAAATAAAAAGGTAAAGGTGAATATAAAAAATGGATGTTTGAGAGATAATTGGTATGAAAATAAACACAATTAGAGCATTATTCCAAATCTTGCTCTTTCTATAAACACAAGATCCTTGTGAGTAAAAAGGTATATACATTATATAGAGGGGTAGAAAATTAAAATAAAAATTACCATCTTGTTGCGCTGAATTCGAGCAGCCTGAGGTCCATGTATAGCAATATATAACCAATTGCACTATTTTTGTTTCTTCATAGAGTAACTGAAAAGGGCGTCATTTCAATACATTATGTAAACAAAAACATAAATGAATTGCAGCATAGTGAATTGCAAATTGAATTGTACGATTCACTCAATTCTCAATTCAATAGCACAATTCAAATCATTTTAGTTGAAACTCAAATTAAATTGTATGAAACGAATCATGAATCATACAATTTTAACACCATACTAGTTGGAACATGTGGAAGCCGGGTCAACAGAATAATTTTGATCAGTTACTCAGTAATTACAATATCCATTTGCAAGAAATTGTAGCAATGTAAAGGAAGGAATTCTTGAGTGACAACTGAGAATAAAAAATACCTGGTTGTTGACTCTACTAGCTGGACTGCTGGTGCTGCATGCCCTGTTGGTGCAAGAGGCAAGACAAGCTTTGCTTCCAGATCAGGTTGAAGATATGCAAGCACCCCATCACCTTCTGTCTCCATGCCTATGTCAGCTTCCAAAGACTCAAGCTTTGCATCACAACATCGAACAGGACAAATAAAAAAAGAACTAAAAAAAACTAACACCCAATTTAGTCTATGTTTCTAAGCAATGGTAGCAATGTAAGTGAAGGAATTCCTGAGTGATAACTCTGATTAAAATGTACCTAGTTGTTGACTCTGCCAGCTGGACTGCTGGTGCTGCATACCTTGTTGGTGTTTGAGGCAAGACGAGCTCTGCATCCAGATTAGGTTGAGGATATGCAGGCACCTCATCACCTTTTGTCTCCATGCCTATGTGCTCCAAAGACCTAATCTACCGTAAAATATATTGAAAATTATGTTTTGCAGACACTTGGGGTGGTAAGGAGGAAAACTTGGGTGATATAAACTACTTTCCTTCTACATATATGACTAAGATGTCCTAGAATAAACTGTAGGGATTACTACCACTTAGGGTGTCAAGTCAAAAGAGATCTTTGTAGTACACTTTTGTTTGCTATGATACTTCACATTTTTTCCCAAAGAAAAATATAAACAAATCCATTAACATATTTCCATTTTCTGGTAACTGTAAGTGTTAGTGTCTATGCCATCCATAACACACCATGACATCAGCCATATTCTATTGTCATCCATGACATCAACCCTATTCTATGATGTCATCCATGACATCATCCCCTATCCTAATGTTATCCATGACATCAACCCTATTCTATGATGTCATCCATGACATCATCCCCTATCCTAATGTTATCCATGACATCAACCCTATTCTATGATGTCATCCATGACATCATCCCCTATCCTAATGTTATCCATGACATCAACCCTATTCTATGATGTCATCCATGACATCATCCCCTATCCTAATGTTATCCATGACATCAACCCTATTCTATGATGTCATCCATGACATCATCCCCTATCCTAATGTTATCCATGACATCAACCCTATTCTATGATGTCATCCATGACATCATCCCCTATCCTAATGTTATCCATGACATCAACCCTATTCTATGATGTCATCCATGACATCATCCCCTATCCTAATGTTATCCATGACATCAACCCTATTCTATGATGTCATCCATGACATCATCCCCTATCCTAATGTTATCCATGACATCAACCCTATTCTATGATGTCATCCATGACATCATCCCCTATCCTAATGTTATCCATGACATCAACCCTATTCTATGATGTCATCCATGACATCATCCCCTATCCTAATGTTATCCATGACATCAACCCTATTCTATGATGTCATCCATGACATCATCCCCTATCCTAATGTTATCCATGACATCAACCCTATTCTATGATGTCATCCATGACATCATCCCCTATCCTAATGTTATCCATGACATCAACCCTATTCTATGATGTCATCCATGACATCATCCCCTATCCTAATGTTATCCATGACATCAACCCTATTCTATGATGTCATCCATGACATCATCCCCTATCCTAATGTTATCCATGACATCAACCCTATTCTATGATGTCATCCATGACATCATCCCCTATCCTAATGTTATCCATGACATCAACCCTATTTTATGATGTAATCCATCACATAAGCCCTGATCTACTTTGGCTTATAAATAAGCTACTTCATCTCATTGTAAAACACAATTCTACATAACAATAAAATCTTCTCTCTCTCTCTCTTCTTCTTCGTCATCTATATTTTTGACATGGTATCAGAGCCATATCTTCCTCCTGTTTTTGGTTGATTTTTTCTCTTCCTCCCTGGTCCTTGGGAGCCGACTGGTGCATTGTTAGCCTTTGCAATCCGTGTTTTGCAGTTTTTGTGGGACTTCTCTCCTTGAATGACTGATTTGGCTCATATAAGTGTTGTCCCAGCAGTGTTTTCTTAGGCCTAGCTTTATTTTTTGGGCTTTACAGGTAACATACTGGTCCTGAGTTTGTTTTTTTAGACTTGTTTCTATTTGTTTGGGTTGTCCCTGTTGTGTGGTTTTAATTTCAATGGCTGAGGTGAGAATAAGGATCCTTTGGTCAATGCAGACTATGGGCAGCATCATGTTGTGACTCTTAACGATAGCCCATCTCTTCAAATCAGTCCTGTGAAACTTGATGGCACCAACTACCTGTTCCGTTCTTAAAAGATATATTTCATTTATTTTATTGGAATGATCTTAGTTATAATTCGTGCAATTGTTGTGTCCTTTTAACTTGATATTTGTATATGACAAATGCTAAAAGTGCTGAATATTGGAATTGAAATATGGAAGTGTCTTGAAAATAGGTCAAATAGTTAAAAGAAGTGCATTAATTTCAATAAAAACTGCATTGAATTTAATAAAAAATGTCTTGTGTTTTCAAATTTATTTTTTGGTCTACTTTTCGTGTCCTTGAGGCACTTGTTAACAAGACCCTTCATATATTGGTATTCATAATTATAGTTTTATTTTATTTTCGTCCTGTCAATGCTACTTCATAAATAAATTTTGTTCCTTATGTGATGCCACATCTTATTTTGTATGTTTAAAGTTATTATGCACCTTCCCAACCTTATTGGAACAAAATATGGTATAGTAATTTCGTACTGAAACTAATTGAGCTTAATGGAGATTTGAACAACTAAACACATATGTTTAATTTCAAAAAGGAGGATCTAAAAGAATCCTTAGAGCCTGGTGTCGAGAAATTTGAGAAACTAATTGGCATGAGTAGTATTTTATTTTTGAGTTACGACTTATGTCTACAAATTGGCTTTCCTACTTAACAAAACAAATAAAACTACAAACTAAACCATCTTTACCGGCTCAAACATGAATGAATGAAGGTCCTACTGGGATCAGCATCATGTAGAACCACCTCTCCAAAATAAAGAAAAAATAGACGAATTTCCTGAGTAAAACTATAGAATAGAAGAACAATGGTTACATCATCACATATGTAACCATAATGATGAGGGGAAGAACTAGGAGAGAGGCAAATATCACGCACCAAAAATACTTCAACATTCCAAATAAATAGTAACTACAAGTTAATAACACCTGCAATCAATTCATAGTCATTTTTTTTCAAGTTTTGTTTGGTTCTTGTTTGGTTGAAGGGCTATTCTTTATAAAATAAACTTCTAAATAACTGAAAATCTCGGCGGTTGCCTCGCCCTCAATCTCCATCAACATCTCCAAATTACATGGACTACACTAACAGGAATTGCATGAAAAAAGAAGCAACAACATTATTTAATGGGAATTGCATTTTTATAACTAAAATCTATGGCGGTAGTGATGGAAAATTATTTGTACATCCACAAGCAAAGATGTAGGCAAGTTGCAGCCTGCCATGACACAATATACATTGAATGCTTTGATTTTCAAGCTTTTCCAATAGAAGCCTCTAAGTAATACCAAAACAAAACTTGTCTCAATTCTACTAAAATAACTTTTTTACCTCATAAGAGAAAATTTGGTCTATAAATAGAGTAGAAGTTTTCACTGTAAGTAGGGGAACCAATGCATATATTAAAGCTGAAACACATAATAAAGCTAAAATAGAACATGAATTTCAAAATTACTATACAGAGTGAAAACATTGTGACATGCATCAAGAATAGAGTCAAAGTGAAAATATTGACATCATGCAATGCTATAGCAAAATACACATCAAGAGAGAGAGGAGAGATAGTGACAGTGGTGATTAAGAGTTTGATGAGGGTGTGTGGTCATAAAGCAATCAATGGATAGAGAAATCAATACCAGTAAAAAAAGACCACTAGAGGTTTGAGATTGAGAAATCGAAACCACTGAGCATTGAAAAATCTTGTTAAGTTGCAGATAAACCCTAGCTATGAAATCTTCAGCACACTTCATGAAGCTTGTTCGCCTGATCATATTGAAATCACATAAACAAAAATAATCACAAGAATAATCAAGCAATTTTATACAGATTTCAATTAATCTCAAGCAATTTGAAGCAAAATTTAAGCAATTCTCCATCATCAGAAAGACAATTTCAGACGATCTCACACTTCTTCTTCGTCTACTTCGTCTTAGGGTTTGAGTGTGGTTTAGGGGGTTTCTGCTGCTTCGTCTAAGGTTTTTTTGTGCTTCGTCTTCATGTTCTCCATCAGAAACACGATTTGAATGAGTCAATTTCAAAGGTTTTGGGTTTCTCAAATGGATAGAAGCTAGAGAGATCGAAAGGGTTTAGGTTTATGGAGAGAGCAGCGATGGAAGATAATAGAGAGGGAGAGAGAGAGGCGTCAATAAACAAAGGAGTGAAAAGAGAGAGGAGACCGTTATAAAACACTAATTTTGAAGCGGTGGAAGATTAGTGAGAGAGGGGTCTAGAAACAAAGGAAGGAAAAGAGAGTGAAAGTTGTGAAACCCTAATTTTTAACACGTTACCTTGGGGGTAAGCGGAAGCAAGCTTCAACCAACCAAGCTACCTTAAAATGTTGATATGGAACTGAAATTAATAATTTATATATATTAATATACTAGTGTATGCCCGTGCCTAAAGGCACGGTATAAATATTGTTGAGATCAAAATGCAGTTATAATTTATACGTATCATGCAAAAATTTGTAAAATCTGTAACTTTTTTTCATAAAAATACTAAAAAAAATATAAAGAAATATTCATCTTATTGATTAAAATATAATTAATCTAATTTGTTGTGCAAAAAAAAATTTTGAGGTCAAAATATAAATAGATGGTCCGTTTGGTTTGGATTTTCAAATAATTTTATAATTAGAGTTTGGTTGTATATTTTGAAAATAATTTTACAAATTTGAAATTCAAAACTTATTTGGTTTACAGCTTTCAAAAATAATTTTTAAAATTTTCAATCTGTATTTTATTACTTTTAGTAAACTTTTTAAATATTTTAATCAACATTTTTTACTTTTTCAGATCCATTCAATCTTAATACACTTAAAAATTATAAAATTTAGAGTAATGTTATAAAATTTACTCTTAAAAAATTTTAAAATAATTTTCACAAATTTGAAATAAAATTTTATAATTTTGCATGATTTATGAATTTTTATGTATTTTAAGTATTTAAACTCAAATTATAGTAAATAATACATTTTAATTATTTTTTATATTTTGTATAAAATAAATACTAACAAAAACAAAAACATAATTTGTTCCCAAGAGAGTGAGGCGACGATGGTCGTGGCCGCGACGGACAACAAAACACACTTTGTGTCCAAGAGCCACAACAACCCATCCTTTCTCGCTCATCTCACTTTTTCAAATTTCAAATTTTAAAACACACACTCACTCTCTGTCTCTCTCCCCTCAAAACAGACTTTGCTACCCCAAGAAGAAGAGGCCAAATTTGTAAAGGCCAAAAAAATAATCCTGCCATATAAAGTGTTTGAGACGTGAGAGAGAAGAGTATTTGGGCGGGAATCAAGTGTTTGGTACATTTGAAAGGATTGATCTTAACCATTGATACACACTTAGAATTAATTTAGACCATTAAAAATCATTTTGGACATTTTTAAAAATCATCCTGCCATATTATATAAATTTACCTTTGCCATTGTCAGTATGTCAGGCACAATGCCTTGGGTCTCAAATCCCCAACAATGGCTCCCAGTGTGAGCAAACCCAGATTGAACCTCATCGGCAATACAAAGCCCTCCTGCTTTCTCAATACTGATGTATACGGCAGGGAAGTAATCTGGGGCCAATTCAATAATTCCACCCACTCCTTGCCATTTTAGAGAGTGGTTCAAATTAGACAGTAACTCGGAAGAGGTTGTATTAATAGGAAAATGATATTCTCACACAATTTTCGTACAGAATTTAAGACAAATAATGTTGCAATGACACTCTTGCAATTATGAACCATAGTGATTGGCATTTGACTATCAATGCAGGGATATAAATGCGACACATCATTTTGCATAAATTTTTTTGTGTTAAATCCTGTGTACATCATTACCCTAATCAATATAGCCACAAAAGAAAACAATAAAAACAAATTTACATAGACGATGCTTACCTGTATGGCTTCAGAAATAAAACCAGCTACATGCCCTGAAGTTCCAAAGGTAATGAGATCTTCGACATCTCTTGCATACTTCTCCCTGTCTGAACCAAAGACTCCACTGTATGGATCTACGTTAAGGGCATGGTGAACTCCGCTCTGTTGACCAATCCAAAAAGAATGCCAGGATTAGGGAACTGGATTATCTTTAATAATAATTTGGTTGCATTGCATTTGTGAATGCTAATTTATGATTACTTGGTTCTTTAGTTAAGGATAAATGTAGTATAAGGTAAGATTGGAAGCTTCACAAAATAATTATCCATCAATATGTTTAGTATCTTCAGCAATATCAACTGTAAAGTGTAAATGTTAACATAAAGCTACCAATGGTAAAATAAGAAAGTAAACAACACAACAATCATGCAAATAACAAACTAAATTACGATATCCTCTGAGTTAACCTGTAAGTCTGTATTGGCCACCGAATTCTAATAAAAACAGGAAATCAAACCCCAAATTACATATGTATTAATGAAACGAAGAAGAAGAACAGAGAGAGAAGGGGAAAAAAATAACAAATAAACAACTCTAAAAATGTATGTATTCATGAAATAAAGGAGACGAACAGGGAGAGAAGGGAAAAAATATCAAACCCACATCACACTAATCAACAAAATGTACATAACCTTGAAGCGAATGTACAATAAAGAGCTGCAGGAAGCCCGAAATTGGGGGTAAAATACCTCTGTTCTTGAAGACGACAGTGGGGTTTGAACTCTAGCAAGCCAAATCAGTCAAAAACAAAAACAGAGAGAGAAGGGGAGTGGCAGAAATCGAGTGAAAAGACTCAATCTTACCTTGCGAGAGCACCGTCGGTAGCGAAGGGAGCCGAATTGAGCAGCGTAGCGAAGAGCCTGCAGAAGATTGTCAGTTCAGCACTGAAACAACAGCACCATCGAGCGGTGAACACAAAAGATCATCCTTCATGTCTGAAAATAAAAAGGGTGCATAGTAATTCAGTACATTTCGTGAATTTAATTATCTTAGTTTGTAACAACCATGGTGCATATTGGTTTAATATTTCCACACAATGAAACAAGTGCAACACAGTGAAATTATGAAGTCTCCTAAATGAGAAATTATGAAGTCTGCTAAATGAGAGGATATGAGTCAATTGAATTCCAAGAAAGTTAATTTTCCACAAACTCAGTAACCAGCTGGAAACCCACCCTTTCTTGGGTCGTTAGCCGCCGCGAGCATCCCCAAGTTTGGACCCTCCAACTTTTGAGCAACGAGCTGGCAAATAGTCCTACTGTCTACGGAGTGTAGGGCATGGCATGGCCCTTCTTCTTGAGCATTGACAATGGCTGCATACTGGTCACCAAGAGAAGATGTCCATAATACAGCGCATTGCGAATTAACTGCACAAACCGTATTCTACCATATTAGAAGGGGTTCAATGGCTAGTCACTGTAACATTTTATAAAATGTATCGAAAGTAAGTGGTTTTGATAACTAACCGTATGAAAGTATCTCAGAGCCATTATAGAGGAGAGTGGATTCAAACCCATGACCAAATGATTTAAGAAAACCTGAGTCGTTGCAGTAGGAATGTTGTCATGTTGATTCCTCCAGCTCAACCTAAAACTGCTTTCAGTTTTTTACCCTGCAAAGGCACAATAAGTAATCATGATTGCCAAGTCAGACAATTAATACTTCAAAATGCTTCTCCTCTTTATATATTGTGCAAAATAACAGTTTTATGAGACATTTATATGCTAAATTTGAAAGAACAAGGCTGGTATCTTTTTCATTTTTAAAGTTCTAGTTTTCTTGTTTCAGAAAAATAAATAAATAAATTGAACGCATCTCTACTCTTCACATTGTTTTAATTTTTGTGTGCAAAACAATTTTTAAAAATTCAAAAAGAAAATTTAAATAAGTTTTTTTATTTTTATAAAGGGGGTGTAACTGAATTCTCCTCCCCCCCCTCAAAAAGCAGTTTGACAAACAAATTTTTCATGTCAACTTTCATTTTTTTCTCAGGAAACAAAAAAATGGTAGAAAATGCGTGCAAAGTGTGCAAGCAGTATGATGACCTTTAGGACAATGGTGGGTGTCATTGATGGCAATGCCCTTTTGAATGGTTGGATATAATTGGAAGGTGCGGGTGGTGGAGACAAACTTCTAGAACTGAAGAAATCACCCATTTCATTGCTAAGTACTATCCCTGTACTTTGTGATTGAAATCTTGAACCGTAGTAATCATTCAGAGAAGTGTTCAGTAAAGTTACAAATAGATATTCATTACAATATTTTTAATTAACTAATTTCTTTTTAGCATTTCTTTTTAGCATCAACTAGATAATAAGAGGACTTGAGCCTCTGAAACTAAAGGTTTACAAAACAACCACAACACAAGGCAAGTACCTGTGTGAGATTAGTGAATTGCAAATCACAAAGCTATACATGCCCACTGTATTATACTGAATCCCATTCAATTGTTTTTTGGTACTCTATCAGGATATGAATCTAAAAGTCTAATTAATCGGACAATTTTCACCAGCCGTGTTCACTTCGAAAAAATGATTAACGACGCACATATATCATTGTTCTTTATCTTCTTTTCTTCCCTTCCTGTCTAAATTCTTTTGTTTTCTGTGCTATCTACAGAATCATATGGAAAAGTTACTTATATAACGGCAATCAAAATTTTATTTATATAGCCATTATGTTGATTTAACTTGAGTACTTCGTAATATTACACCATTGCCTTATACATGGAAGCAACCAAATGGCTTAATGGGAGTGGACTCTCTTCAGTTTAATCGAAGGACTTTTTAAAATCTAAAATCTAAACTCCACGGACATAATATACTGATACAAACAAGTACTCATTTCCAGAGAGTCTGAGTAGATAGGACAAATTTAAATAAATATATCACACGTACCATAATCTATCACAACAGTGAAAACAATTACTGAAATGCTTACTTGCTGCCGTAAAACTTGCTGCAAACTTAGGAGACAGCATGTTGGATACAGCACTTTAAACATTAACAAAATCATGGTCACCAATATTCATCCTCACAGCATACGCATGTTTGAAAGCTTCAACCGTTGGATGAACTTGAAGGGAATAACTTGTACGTGAATAAAATCCAAATTGGGAAATTATACGCTCCAACCGTTGGATGAACTTCAAAATCGATACAATACGCTCTTGCTCATCGACCTCGCTGAAATGCTTCCGCCACCGGTCCCAATCCCAGTCTTCATCATCAACCACTTCACTTCCTCTCTCGAAAACATCAACACTCTTCAATAATCATTGAACTTCTTAACCGCGTTCCTCAACACCTCCTGAATCACCGAATCCCACCGACGGTTAACGGAGGATGAGTTATCCGATGGAGAAGCTGAGGCCGAGTCATCGTTGTTCCTGTGGCAAGGCCGAGTCATCGTTGTTCCGGACATAATATACTGATACAAACAAGTACTCATTTCCAGAGAGTCTAAGTAGATAGGACAAATTTAAATAAATATATCACAGGTACCATAATCTATCACAACAGTGAAAACAATTACTGAAATGCTTACTTGCTGCCGTAAAACTTGCTTCAAACTTAGGAGACAGCATGTTGGATACAGCACTTGAAACATTAACAAAATCATGGTCACCAATATTCATCCTCACAGCATACGCATGTTTGAACTTCTTAACCGCGTTCCTCAACACCTCCTGAATCGGAAACCCTAGACAGAGAGTGAGGGCTTGATGAGAGAGAGTAGGATGATCGTCTCAATCGGAAGGAGATTTTAGGGTTTTGGAAGGCGAATTTGTGGGGGTTTGGATCGGAGCGAGGGGATGGAGAAGGGAATGTTGGCGGAGAGTCGACACCATGAGAGAGAGGTTAGAGAGGGAATGTAGGGATAAGGATGAATTTCAAAGAGAGGCCAAGCTCAGCAGTGAGTCCCAGCCGAGTAATTTTCAGAGAGCGGCAGATGCGGACTACGGCGCTGCTGCAGAAGAGGGGCGTCGTTGATGTGGTTGTGAAGGAGGCGGTGGTTCTGGCAACGGTGGTGCGACGGCGGCATTAGGGATCGAGAGAGAGAATCCTAGACAGAGAAAGAGAGAGAGAGAGTGTGCGTGAACACAACACCCATCTCATCTCTCTCTCAACTACAACACATTGAGAGAGATCCACCAACGTGTGAGAGAGCAAGTGGAGAGAGGGAGTTAAGAGCCGTTTGGCAGACGTGGGAGAGAGTGTTTGGGCGGAAAAAAAATTAAACTCAACCGCAGATATTGATTAGAAATTATTTTACTCATTCAAACAAAATGTAACATATTTTCAAAATTTGTTCAAATAAATACATTTTAACATATTTTCAAAAGTTGTATCTTATAATATAGATATTAGTTTTATCTTTATGCTTTTGTATATATATAAGTTGTTTTCATTTTTTTTTAAATAATTTTTTATTTTCTCATTTCACTCGTCACTTTTAGCCACTACTCACCGCAACTATCAATGAATGGCGAGTTCCGACCAAACTCTGGCAACTCTCTAGCAAGTGAGTGATCGCCATTGTGATTTTCAATTATCAATTGGTATTCTTCAGGTCAGGTCATCTCATATCTTTCGACATCGTCCAACTACTAAATTCGGCAAATAAGTTCGACTGCCCATTACTAACAGCCACCACATCTGTCTACCCTTCATTTCTGTCCATTAAATTTGGGAACTAATCATCACACTGTTAATTTTTTTATTTAAACCCTCTCATTCTATTTCAATGCGATGTTCAAACTTTTTAATGTAAATTTAAAATTATTTTATTTAAGCCTTTCAACTTCATAATCAAGTTTGTGTAATCTAATTTATAATTAAGGCCTTACACTTTTTTTTGTCTTTAACATTTTTTTAAAATTTATATATAAAAAAATAATATTTTTTCAATTAAAATAATTTTAAAATAAAAGAAAGTTGAAAATATTGAAAGCAAAAAAAAATAAATAAATAAATAATAAAAACTGTATATTTTTAATTTTTGATGAAGTCCCTTTCATTCACTTTCTGCTCTTATTAATTTTTTTTTTCTTTTTATCTTTTTGTTCGTTATGGGGATATAAACTGAAACAACGTAACTTTGAATAGATCACATAAGTGAAATGATTTATTTATCGAATTTGTTGTCACTCGAATCGTTTGAATTTGTGCCAGCTGGACGATTGGTTTCACCTTCGTCTATCGCAGTTGTCATCCTGTCGTCTAGATGACTAGTGTGAACAAATTCATGCAATTCATACGGGACCAAATTAGATGAATGTAACATTCCTGATCACGAAAATGGGTCAGGGATTTGTGGGGCAGGAAAAACCGAATCCCATTAGAGGCGAGACGGTGGAATAAAAATGGTCTTCGTTAGAGATAAGGAATGGAAATGGAAAAAAATAATAATAATTGGAGATTGGGAACAGAGAGTGTAAAACTCACCCTTCTTGTCTCACTGCCATTCCTATTTATAACTTCTCCAACTAGTCGGGTAGGAGTTGGGCATTGGCCGAGTCGGACCAGATAAAATTTTATCACTTTATAAGCAATTTGTGTTGAGCTGATGTAATCAATTTAAGTCAATTCTAAAATTAATAGTATAATATAATTTTGAATTCCAATTATTATATATATATATTATTAGCTTGTAGTTACTATTTATTTGGAATGTTGAAGTACTTTTGGTGCTCGATATTTGCCTCTCTCCTAGTTCTTTTCCTCATCATTATGCTTACATATGTGCTAATGTAAGCATTGTTCTTTTAGTTTACAGTTTTACTCAGGAAATTCGTCTATTTTTTCTTTATTTTGGAGCATGAGGAAGGAGCATAGCTCGCTTTCAGAGAGCTGAGATATAGGTTTGTAAAATTAATTTAAATTGAATAGATTACAATTGTCCTTTTTTTTTGTGACAAATGCAAATTAAATAGGTTATGATTATTGAATCGATATAACTTTTCTATGTTCACAAAATAAAAAAAATGAAATGTCCAACATACTTAATAGTTCGAATTATCAAAGCGATATCTCTGATAGACATCACAAGACTAAACAGCGCTCTTCAGCTCAAATTATGGACCGTAAAGAATTTCCTCATATAAAATAACTACGTTAGTGATCGGGTTTTTTGTTTCTCTCTCTAATTTAAGAGTGGCCCGGAGAGAATTCCCTCATATAAAATAACTACATTGGCGATTGTGTTTCTTTTTTCTTTGTTCTTCTCTCTCTAATTTAAGAGGTTTCATAGGGCATAGTGAATCGAATTAAAAGGAAGATCCGTTCCAGTTAAAAAATTGGATTAGAGACCATTGTTTTGGCCCATGAGGCCTACCACATGCCCCGTTTCGATAATTTGAATCATTCATTTTATCAAGCACTTTGTGTATTTCATCCACACAAAAAATTAAATCCATTTGATAATTATAACTTATTTAATTTATTACTTTTTCACCAACAAAATTGACGACAATTGTGTTATTATCCGACATGACTGCAACACTTATTTTGAAGTGTCAATACTTCATAGCACCTAGGTCTCTGCAACAACTTTCTAAAAGTCCTTATTGACCGGTATCCGGTTTTGATCAAATAAACTTTACCATTGCCCAAAACTTTACAATGCATAAGGTTCATTCTATCTTTTGATGATAATCGATTTTTATATTTTCTTCTTATTATGTGTTTTTTATTGACATTTTTCATTTTATTTACATACTTTTATTGCTTAAGAGTTCTGTGGTCCAAACATTACAATGCATACATATGATATTAGGATAGTTAATTATTATTATTTATTTTATTTTATTTTTATCAAACTAAACTAAGCCTTGTATTTCAAACCAATCCAACCCAATAATTTGTCTGTCTATTGTCCCCCACGGCCATTGATCCCAACCACATCGATTTTTGTTATATGTTCTTCTTATTATGTGTTTTTTATTGACATTTTTCATTTTTATTTACATACTTTCATTGTTTGAGAGTTCTCCGGTCCAAACATTACAATGCATACATATGATATTAGAATAGTTTAATTTTTTTTTTTTTTATCAAACTAGACTAAGCTTTGTATTTCAAATTGTTCAAACCCAATAATTTGCCTTTGTATTGTCCTCCAGAACCACTGATCCCAACTACCCAATTCTGCTAAATTTAATGTCATTTTTCATTAAGGTTAGTAATTAAAATGCATTTTTTTGTTGTTAATTTTACTTAAGAAAAATAGATAAATGATTTAGATTGAAAACTAATCAAAATATTAAGGTTTAAATTGATCAAATTAAAAATTCAAGATTTATTTTGTTAGAAGGATCATTTTTTTTTTTTGGTCTTTTGGATAATTTCTCCTAACTAATATTGTTGGAATGAAATAAAATAGAATGATCAATTTATTTTATACATTATAAATATTCATTATTGACTAAAAAATAATTATTACGAAACAAGATTCAATACAAAATTAAGAGACATCTATTATTAAAGAGACAACACTATATTTTAAAATTAGAAAATTGGAGAGATATGTTTCACTAATTTTCCTTTTTATTATTGTATGGTAAATCAATAAGGAATTTTATTTTTTTATTTAATTCTATCGAATAAAATATTTTGATAAGTGGGCATTTGTAATTTTTTAAAGTACAGAGAACAATCTATATTTTAAGCAAATCGTAA